GTCAATAGAATAGGTTTTATTATCACTTAAAAAGCCATTAGTTGTTGAAACGCAGGTGGCAGAACTGCATATTAATTGATATTCAAACTGTTTCGGTTACCGTGTAACTGTAAAAACGTTAACAAACAGTGCACGGGACTTTGGCGTGAAAAAAATGTACAATTAGTGAAATATTTAATTGACCTCGCATCTTTCTTTTACTTTGTGCTCATGATATTACCGGATTCCTAAATGAAATATATTCCATAATAGTACTTTTTAAGACCACAGCTTCATGAATAGATACATCTATTTCTTGCATTTCCACATAGGGCAAAAATAGAATTTGAGCAAGGTAATTCCAAAACCACAAACATATTAAATACCACCGAGGTATAAACCCAGCTTTATTTTTACAAAAGCTATATTTTCGAGAAAATAGGACAATTGAAGACAGGAAAAACAACTCACCTTAGTGACGTATCTTTCAGATTATTAGTAACAATCAAAATTCAAAAAAACTCTGCTATTTAAACATTGTGAAACCGACCTTTCTCTCCCCAACATATGAACGTGACTCATGTGACATACAAATATCATTTATAAACATATCATATAATGTTCATATTGTGTATGAATGAGATAAACATCAAAAACAACCTATAAGTACAGTATATGATTGATTAGGCAAAATCGAAATATATTGAACATTTTTCCTTAAAATAATGGGAATATTCCAAAAGCATAATGGAGATTCTGTTAAATAGTCTCTTAGTATATGGTCTCTATAAATGAAACAATAAATGCTTAGTTGATGAGGGGAACCAATACAAATCATAGTAACAATATACACATTTTGAAATAGCTCATAGGGCAACAAATTACAAGACAATTTCACTATGAAATGGCCACACCTTACATTTCAAAGTCAACTCCGTTATTAATGGATTCTATCGGACAAGACATATTCAGTTTCAAAAACACGATCGTGACCCATGACGAACATGATACAAAAGTCTCCAAGTCCAGATGTGGCCATAAACATAATGTGTTTAGCATGGTCAAAGATATTAACACCCCATAAGAATTTATTACTTTCCGCAAGAGCGAACGCATTAGAATTGTCCGAAAAATAACCCAAAAACTTAAACGACCCAACAAAATACTGTCATGAAATAACCATTACACTCAGCGTGCATTTTGTGTGCGCATGATTGTTAGTTCATTAAGTGCCTTCCCAAAGACAGTTCAGAAAAGCTATCTGCAAGAAGAAGTCCCGAAGAAATACCAAATATTTTCTGGTAGGTTTTTGCTCATTTTAGCTACCACAAAGTCAACAACAACAATTTCGGTACCGATTACATTGTAATGTATTATTAAATGTGGATGATAAAGCAATGTAGATGTTGAAGAACGGAGATGTTGAAACTAATTTAAATTCAATGACTGGCACAGGCATATACTATATATATATGCACTTGGTGCCTTGGTAGAGCTGGAAACAAATAATAATAATAATCTGTTTGTTATTTCCCAGCAACTCCAGAAATCAGTCATGTATGCCTTTGCCATTGGGATATTTTTTATGTTTTTCACGTATTCCTCTGCACAAAGTAAGTCTATAGTGGCACGTTATAGTGTATAGAATATAGCACAGTCACCAAGAAAGAAAAATTAGCCTTCATGTGTTTATAGTATTTACATATAAATTATCCTGGTCATATCTATTAAACCATTTGTCTAGATATATAATTATACAATTTTATTTGCAATTATCAGTTTATATAAGTGCTCATGCCTTCACTCTTTTTGTTTCTTATTGGATACATGGTATATTTTCAGACTGCCAGCAATGCCCAGAGCCATTTAAGGCCATCCCGGGTGACAACTGTGGGTGCCTAAGCGGCCCCGAGTCGGGCACCTTCAACATAGCGGACGGTAACAACTTTTGTATAACGAATAGGCAAGCGACACTACCAGTCTTCAATAATCTAGAGTGTCTACACACTGTCTGGAAGCTGTTTATGAAAGGTACGTAACCTGCCAGTAGGGCCTATTTACATAGACCTATGGCCAGCCATTTAAACGTTTCTTTACCTGGAAAGAAAATTGCCCTTTTTTACTGTTTGTTCTGTTAATAACGAATTCCTTCAACTGACCCAACTTAAACAAGTACACAAAACCTGTAGACTACTGGATAAACTGTTGATTCAGTGCGAACTTTTTAAGCCCAAATGAGCGGTTCGTCAGAACCCTTCAATCCCCTTCTGGCCTGTAACATGTAAGTAATAATGTTTACATAACGGTGCACAGAATGTGGCCATACTGGTACATTTTCGACAGCTCACCAAACATAAACCTTTCAATATTCTCTTCCAGTCAATTCTGGGAGCTCCTCAGCACCAAAAACGACATATTATCCAATACTAGGCAAAGTGACCAGTGTAGACTCAGTGTCGCCCCCTATGGTCACAATCGGTTGGATGACTGGTAAGTGTTTATTTATTTGTTTTTGTTTTTTAATTATTATTATTATTATTATTATTATTATTATTATTATTATTTTGCAGCCAAGGGCCTGGACAAATATAACGAATACGCCACATACAAAGTTTTATACCATTTGCATTTATTTTTGGGTTATTCAGACCTTTGAAAAAGATAGCTATAACCTGGAATTTCAAAAGTATTCATTCACTGATGCTTAAGATCACTGAAATCAATTTTAGGGGGAAGTTTGCAATTAGCATCCGCTAAGGACATCATCTTCCACAACTTTCCCAAGAAAGACTTCTGCGTATTCCTGGTGTACGACTCCAAACCCATCAGGTACGGCATCCGCTTGGGTTTCAAAGCCTGTGACAGCCTTATGAAATACCCTATCGTCTGCCACCGCTCATGCACACCAGATGGCGCTCCTATGGAACGAATTTTGCCGTTCACAATTTTTCCGCCAGTTACAACACCATCGTCTGCGGCGTGTTGCCAGTGTCCTTGCAACTGGGACAAATTGGGCAGTAGTTGTTATCGCTACAACCCAGCCAAGGCGGACTTCCAGACGCACTACGCCGCATGTAACAGCCAGCGGTTTCTTCCCTCCCAAGCCAGCACTACCGCCCCCGCACACCTCATTAGTGTTAACGATGTTGACGAAGCGCTGTTGGTCCAACTTATGCGAGCCAAATACGGTAAAAATAGAGCCATAGCTTTCTTGCGTGTTTTACTCTCAACTTTTTAAACTCGTAATTTATAACAATTTTATAATATATTATCGGTTTGTAGTACATTATCATAGGTGTTTCACCTTTACTATAATGTCAGGTGTAGTCCTATAGATAACCTTTAGGAAAGCTAACATATAAGTAGGCCTAACTATTTAATTCAGTGCTGTACAGTCCAAATTTACATATTGGCTTTCACTGAACGCGGTTCTTCGCGGTTACTCACCTTATCTGGTAAATAACGCTTCCTATCCTAGGTGACTCAACCTCCCTTGTATGGACAGACGGCACTGACTTTGCCCAAGAGGGAATATGGCGGTGGACCAGTAGCAACGCGGTGATCCCCTCCTCTCTCCTGGCCTCATTTTGGGCTCAGGGCCGACCGCTTGGGGGAGCAAATGACTACGACTTCCTAGCTGTCCAACCTGACGGGAGGTGGATAGACGGTCTTTCTCAGACCATTGGTCAGGGGATCTGCGAGCTGGACCTTCCGGTGGGATGTTAATGTTAGAACGACCATCTCTGCCACACCCAAAACAGTACAGGCACGTTCCAACATAATATTGAAATGTATAAATAAAATAGTAGCTTTTTAATCAATCAGGTTATTTATTTCATCTTTACATGCAGCTGTCACAGATGTCATGGTATCACAAGTTTTCACAAATATTGACAAAGAATAAGAGTAGACTTTGATAATGAACATAAAACTATGCTTTTCATGCCTTCATGCCTAGTACTTTTTATGTAACAAAAACAAATGGACGTTTTCAACTGATCAATTTATGGTGAAAAGCATGAAGTAACTGTAAGCATATAAACCATTCAATACAAAAGGAAACTTGTTGACATTTTTTGAAAAAAAATAATAAATGTACTGCTTTACAGGGAAGGTTGTCTTAATTAATAAATGGACAATTTGTACAGAGAATACACTCCACACCTCATTGTTTTCTTAGCAACAATGGGGAAAAACATTTTCAGCTTCACAAATGAAAGATTAGTCTTCTTTTTGCAAAATTATGCTTTCTTCAAAGTTCCAACGGAAAACAATAAATATCCTGTCAACTTTGAATGAAAACTATCCATACAACAGTTACTCCTCTTTTGATATCTTTTTGCATGTTTTTGTGCAAAGTAAATTGTTAGCCAACAGTACTTCCTCCAAAGGAAACTTCTGAGTTGGAGGACATTGTTTGATTTACAGTAAAAAGGTGAGAACTTGGTGATAACCACTATTGCTTCTTTTCATAATGAATGATAGACCACATAAACCCATCAAACAATAACATAAGCACATGGGTCAGTTTTTAAAATGTTGCTAAATACACATAAATGTAATAGTATCCTCTCTGATATATCTACAACTTCTAGGATAACCTATATACATGTTTAAATCTTTATTATACTTATCTGTAATTATTCTTTATATTAGTGAAAGAATTGTTACATAACAAAAACTTTTGTTAACAAAGGCTTGAAGCTTAGTTCTATCATATAGCAATGCACAATTATTTAATTATATTTAACACAATTTATAATAAGGTGCAGTGAAAGGGCTGTTTAACTAATAGGTACTTCAGTACATATAACCTTTCTGCACAAGTGGAGATTACATTCAATAATGTGGACATTGTTCCCAGAAAAAAAAACTGAAGAATTTTAAAAGAAATGAAAACATTAATTACATTGTCAGTAAGCCCTTATATCAAAATGTCAAGAACCTCACAGATATTTCATCAATTGGTTTCACTTTTTACTATACCTCTATATCTCCCTATTTATGGTATATCTGTTTAAAAAAAAAAAAAACACTTCCGAATAGTAACCAAAATAAGTGAATTCTACTTTCTTTTTTTCTTCTGTTGTCAAGTATAAGGCAAATATACAGTATATATACAAAACAAAAGTGAGCAAAAACAGTCACCAAAAACCTTGTATGTATATATATTTTTTCATTTATGCAAATAATGGAAAACACTATATAATTATACATATCAGCATAATATCTGTGGAAACGTCAACAGCTGTTTTACTTTTAGAACAATTCTTGGATAATAAGGAACTAGGACTTCGTTTAAAAAGCATAAACATGCACCAGTTTTAGGTGACCATTCAATTCACAGCCCTTTTCACACGGAGCAGTTTTCTGTATGAACTGGCCATGTCAAGTATGATCCCTCCCTTTAGGCTACCGCCTTATGAAAGAACCAGGCTCTTAATTTATCAATAAGTCAAACTGGTGTGATTCAGAAACTGCACTGCTCACCGTGAAAAAGAGTCCAAGCAGAAACCCATACTCACATTTTCAATGTACAGGTGAAGTCTAATGTATGTTTAATCACATACAAAGCAACCTTTTTCACTTCACCTGGTGGGCAGTCCTATATGGCACAACAATGTCCTCTTTAGAGAGCGGAGCCCAAAAGTCATCTGCCCTGACTGATTGCACTCTAATCATCGTATTACAAAATAAATATATATTTTTGTACCATTTAAACTCAGAGCTGAACAATAAGTGTATCGGAAAGGAAAATGTTCACAAAGAGAGAGAAAGCTTAATATTCTCTTCTTGAAAATTGTGTTATAAAAACACTTTCAAAATAAAATTTCAAAAAAATCAGTTCAGGTTAACCTTCTTTCACTGTGTTTATTTCAAGAGAAAATTATGCTTTGCTGTATTAAATACCTGAAACTAAAGAGATTCGGGAAATCAAAACTGTGAATCGAAAAAATTTGAATGCACTTCAAAATATCCCCATACAAAACAGCTGTATCAAGGCAGTAAGACCAATTATATTGCTAAATATGTAAAGTCTACGTGATGAAATTGAAACAAGTTTTAACTTTCAAGCTTCTAATTCTACATTTCCCTTAGTTTGTTCTTCTGTTTTATCTGTCACCTTTTTTCTGTGAGCTTAAAACAGTCTTATCATCACGTATTCAACTACTCTTTAAAAAAATGTTTTCAAATCAAATTTTCACAACTTGCCCCCCTTGCTCCTGTGACCAGCACATAAGGGGGTTAAATCTTCTTGGCCAAGTTACATAAAAGAACTTGTGTTACAAGTTGTTCCTAGCTAGCTTAAGGACTCATAATTTCAGTCTAGGTATGCAACAACCAGTTGCATCCACACAGATGAAGATTTTAAACTCATTTTACAAAACAAAAGAAAAATTCAATGTTCAGGACCTAAAAATCATATACTATAAGGAAGTACTACAGATTAATATTTCTTTAAATAGACTAGTTTTGGTGTCTGGGAATTTGATTGGTGTTTTGTTGTGACATACGCTTACAGCAATGAATCTAACTGCTAAATATGTATACATATGCTTCTACTGGCAGGGGTCAATATTAACACTACAGGGCAGGGTCACAGTATTTGGATCCCTGCCCTAAAACTGATCACTGAATGATATAAAAGGACTGCAGACAACTACTGAGCCAAAATATGAACAGAAGAGAAAATGTTTTTCATTGCATATCCATCCAGAAACAACTCATTCTCCCCCACCCCCCTCCCCCCTTTCTTTTTCTTTTATGATTGAGCTAATTAAGTGTTAAAGGAAATAAAAGCATTAAGATGATCAATGATGAAACACAAAAACTGGTAAATACTTACACTAGTTACACATTCTCATTGACAACACCCACAAATTAAGATGGCAACTTGCACAAAATAAAACGAAGTTGGACTTTCCCTAGCAACAAGCTTGCCAACATAACTTTACACTTATTCCATTTGTTTACTGAAAATAATGTCACAACATTCCTGTATTCAGTTTGAGGACAAGTGCATGCAGCAAAGCATAGCAAAAGACACTTCACAGCCTTGAAGTATAATATTAATATTAATATTATATTGAATCACACTATATCTGGAATGTAGGATATTCGCCTGATACGACCCATCAATGCTTCTAGGGATTCATCAGTTGAAAAACCTGGATCAGTATCTTTGTTCCTCTCTCAATCTCAACATCAATATAGCAGATTTTTTTCCATAACTTTATGTTAATTTAAGGTCTGAATCAATTGTCAGTGAGTCAGATTTTGCTCTCTGTTCGATTTATCAAAACGGTAAAATGTCACGTGGTGTCTAATTGGCACTAAGTGATCAGGCTTTCAGGTATACAGTGCTCTTTGTTTTTTTCTTGGTTTTAGCTGATCTTCGTCTGCCCGACCCCTCCTAGGCCAACACCATGGGTTCATCTTCAGAGAAACCTTGAATCATGGGCGAGTCGTCCTCGGCATCTTCTGAAACATTCAATCCAAACAGATTTTAAAGTATTTTCAGGGCTTTAATCACATTTGAAGCATCAATTAGCATTCATGTCATTTTCATTTTAAAGTTAAAATGCAGTGGAGCGATAAATTCTGACCCCTCACCCAAGCAAGATTTTTTATAGGCCCCATGCTGTAATGTATACCCTAAGAGAGGCCATACCTTTAGAGAGACCATACCTAGTGACCCGCTTCCACTCACCTAAATCTCCAGAACCAAACGTTGTCCTTCCAGACCTAGTATCATAATGACTGTTTGCAAATGAAAGGAAACTTCTTTGCAGGCGCCGATGGCGGTAACAGTATACTCCAAGCAAGACCACCAATACCAAAATGACCGCTCCAGACACTCCACAACTCACAGCTAGCACGTTGGAGCTCTTACTGAAAAACTGGCGGTCTACCACACCTACAATTATAGAGAAACATGAATTGAATACTAAGACAAATAGCACCCTAACTAGGTACTGGCCTGTGTTGCTTTTAGTAGGACACTGAAAAAATTTTTTTGAAATATATGTTTCTTAGAGCGACACCATTTCCTGATTAACTTTAGAATGCTGCCACTCGAGTAAGCCCATCAGCCTCTTTGGGTGTCCCAATATACACATATTCCACAGACAAAGGTAAATTTATATCAACTAATACTTTAACTTGCCACTTACCGCTCTTTACAATTATTTCCCAACCAGAAAGCATAATGGAAATTATGCCTGCTGTACCCCTTCTAAACATTATAAATGATTGCAGCACATCTCGGTGGTAGGATCCCCAAAGGACAATATGATACCTACATTTGATCCATTCATAAAAATACACTGACTTTAAAGAATGTATCCATTTACTTACGTTTCACCTCACCAAACTCTATTTTCTGAGAATAACTGCCAGGGTATCCCTGATCTGGCATTAATCTGACTTTAAATATCCAACGAGCTTCATCTGTGATGTTTACAATCAAGTTTTTGGCAGAAACATTTCTGTTCTCAATTGTTGTCATGTTTGATCCTCTTTCTTTGACAATATTCACTTCATAAACCTGAAAAGAGAATGTTTTTTCGAATATGGTAAATTTTCCTTTTTTTTTCTTGAACAGTGACATTCTGACAGTGTCTGTACATATTTTGTAACATTTAGATATTAATCATAATTTATGTATTAATATTTATTTATTTATTTGTAACATACAATAAACTTAATTTCTGTTTGAACAATAACTGAGAAGTCAGGTACAAAGAAGACAAATTATAAAAACGGCTCTAATATATGAGCGCAGGATTTTTTTTTAAATTCAAAATAATAACAATATAATTATAGATCTTCCTTTTTGGGAGAAAACACTCACATATTTCTTTGGTAAGACATCTTTCGGAGGGAACCAAGTCAACTGGAGAGCAGTGTCTTTTATTTGCACAAAGTCAAAACCTTCCGGTGCTGCATATGGGGCTAGAATATTGAAAACAATTACATTATTTTCTCATTTCTTACTCACAAGTGCTTCAAAACAATCCATTTACTAATAGGTCCTCTTACAAACGTTACAGCAAGACTGACAGACATACATGCATAAAACAACCAGGAGATGGACAGATATCATAAAATAAATGTCAAGTGACATTAAAACTGTTGATTGAGAATTATACTTTTTTTCTATTGTGCTCACAAGCAGGAAGTGAATGCATGGCATGGTATATGGCAGATGCAGGTGGCAGCTTTATATCCAAACACAATGTCCATAAAAATACCTCATATGTAGACTTCGTGAAGTCTTAGGCTCCATTTCCATAGACACCACTGATCTACATAGATCGATCGGACTCTGCAAGGACTCTCACTGAGTGCAATCAGCTTCACTGAATGACACGCCTCCTTCTGGCGTTTAGTAGAATACGGAAAAGTACATTGGAAACAAGAGAAGGCATGTCATTCAGAAAGAGTCCTCATGGAGTTGGATCGATCTACATAGATTGTTGGTGCCTATGGGAATGAGGTATAAATACCAAAGCTCGAAGGGTGAATAAAAACTTACGGATCGTAACAGAGACTGGTTGAGATTTTTGCCCTTGTTTCTCCTGATCTACTCGAACAATGATATCATAGGTGGCACCACGTGTCAGGTTGACAATCTGATACTTTATTTGCAAGTCTTTAGTTGGTTTCACCTGGTACCCTTCAGTATGCTGGTTCCGTTTTTCAACAGTGTCAATTTCATAGGCCTAGAATGAAAAAGAAAAGAAAATTGTACTGAGTAAAGGACATGCTAAAGACTGCTTAAGACTTTTTTGTCTTCTTCTGGTTTGCTCATTTTGAATCCTCGAACAATATGGTGTTGCTGCTATTGGCACTTAAATAAAATATGATGACCTCCTTCAGAGTGCCCCCCCCCCCCTCCCCAAAAGACAACATTATCTTACTACGTGTTTATGTGTAGTATCTCACCAGAGCCAATCCAATCCCAGCACATGGTGCTTCAAAGCTAATGTTGATCTTGTTCTTGCCCTCTGTAACTGCTTTCAAACGTTTTGGGGGAGAAGTTTCATCTGAAAGACCATAGTATTGATCATATGCATTAAATTTCTAAAGGATTTAATTATTTTTAAAAGCTTTATTTTGTGTCAAGAGAAATAATTACTAATAATTTTAAATGTTCCATTTTCTTCTTCAGAAAAGCAAACATTTTCAGACTCAATACATGACAAATAAGTACTAGTTGCAACATACAAGAGCGTAATTATATCGAAGTATAATTTGGTCTAGTATGTGGCATACAGTGGACAAACAGTAGTTGTAACTGACTTATACAACAAATTATGCTTCAAACAATAAGATGAATGCACCGTATGAAAATACAGGCAAGCCAGTATGTGAAATACAAGTGAAATTATCCTATTGTTTGAAGTGCCAGCCATAGTTTACATAAGTGTGCTTTAAGAGTTCCATCTGGATCATAAATTGACAGATATCAGTTAAAATCGCATACCAAAGGATGTTGTATAATCTACAGTGGGACTGGGCCTGGTTACAAAAGGTTGGTCAACAGCCACAGTGAATGTGTAATCCTCGCATGCAAGGACATTTGGTATCAAAACCAATGACTTGGTGGTGGTGATAGCTTCAAATCTGGACAGGTCGCTCAAATCATGAAACTGGTGTGAGTAGAACACCTTGTATGTCTGTGAAAAAGAAAAAAAAACAAAGCTTCACAATAACTTTCTGGTTACAGACTTATTCAATTTTTCATTCACTCATTTAATTCACTATTAAAATAATTTAAGTTTTTTTTTTTTTTTTTTTTTTTGAAAGATTAGAGTAATGCAACAGGCTTAAATTTTTCAAATGATCCTAACTTACATATCCAGCACTGTTAGGAGGAGGGGTCCATGTCACCTTGATGACCTGTTGGCTTAACATGTCTGCTTTCAAATTTCGTAAAACTGGTTCTGATCCTGAAATAAAATTAAGGAAAATGAAGAGAACCCAAAATCTCTCTCTCTCTCTCTCTCTCTCTCTCTCTCTCTCTCTGTAATAATAATCAATTCCTTTTTTTAATTTACAAACAAATCTAAAGGATACTCATCAGGCTGTAAGCTGTAGGAGAGGGAAGGGGGTAAATGTTCATTTGCATGTATAACAAACAACCTGGAATCACTTAGTTTCTACTATGGTTCATATCTGTGTTAACATCTGTGTTTATTTACACAACCCACCTCCAGTTTTTACTGACCTTACTTTCCTACCAGTGAGCCATACCCGACCATATTCACATAATAAATTAGGACATAATTTTTTTTTTTTGTACCAGATTTGTAAAGTTCTACCCATATCTACCAGACTTACCTTGAGTTCTTACTACCTGTTCCACCAATGGTCCATACCCAACTGAATTTACATAACGTATTAGAACGTTATAGTTTGTCCCTGGTGCAAGGTCTTTAACTGGAAGAAAAAAACACAGTATAAATATAATTATACAAATGATGGTGCACACACACACACACATGCACACACACACACACACACTTGGTGTTCTTTCAGACAATTATAATGTAAGTTTTAACATTTTTCTGTTGCCTTAATCTGTAGTGTGTGAGATCAAATTTATAACACCTTAGGAATACTTATTTCCATTTCTTTCATGAACTTCATATGAACTTTTGATTTAGGACAAGTAATCTGATTGAAAAAAATTCCTGAAGATACCTATACTTTAGATACGAAACTATTGTCCCAGAATCTTGTCATTTTTTAAAACATAATACAAAATTCAATGACACTCTCCAAATTGATAAACTGTGTCTTACTTGTAAAGGAGTGGGTGCTGTCACTAACATTGATATAATGTGAAGCATTAAGAGGATCGGTCCACCGGATGTTGTAACCGAGCTGAAATATAAAAAACAATAGTAAAACAAAGAAAATGGTACATGTTATTTGCAGATTTACCTACAGCAAAATGATTTCAACATTTTAACAGTTTCAGGCAAGTTACCCAATATCTGCATCAGTTTGGACAAGAAGCTGAATATAATGCCAGCCCAGAAAGTACTAAACAAAGAGAAGATACAGGACAAACATGTGAGTTCTTCTATAAAATTTTTAAACACCCATCATATATGAAAATGCTCTTTTACTATACTATCTATGAATGGCGGAAAGAGACAGAGAGACCAGGGGTCAATTTAACAAAGGAATTCAAACTGAAAGTTGGTTTTAATTTAAAAGACCAAAGACAAAATCAAACATTTGCCTGAAGTCATATCAGCAATAGTCGAATGAAATATGTATTATAAACACTGTGCTCTTTTTTTTTTTTTTTTAATAAAGATTATTAATTTTTTCGCAATTATATTAGCTTTAGCAAAATCAAACAAAACTTATAATTAAATCTGTGCTCTTCTATAAATAAATGAATGTTGTTGTTGTTAATCTAAACCATTATCTGTATTAAACAAAACCATGGTCATGAAACACACATTGTCTGATGCAATACTTAAACTAGGGAAACCATTATGCAACTAGTTCATGACAGAGAACAGTGGCAAATCTTTGTTGGTGCCCTAAACACCAGCCAGTGTGGAAAGCATTGAAGAAGAAGTACTACTTCTTCAGCCTAAATTTAGAAGTCCCCACAGATGCTCTTTCTCCATACCTTACGGCCTGATGTGTCAGGACTCCAAGTGACAGTGATATTTTTGTTCGTACTTGTAAACCTGACATCTTTGACTTCATCAGTGGGATGGTCAGCCAGGAAGTTGACAGTGACGTTTGCTGTGGCATTTCCCTCTCCCCCCACAGTCACCGCTGCCACCTGGAGAGAAAAATCTGAATCAGTATTCTTCTTTCTACACAGCATCCTGATCCATGTATTGCCTCTTACTCAACCAATTTATGTTGTATATGCAGTTATAAAAGAGGGGAAATATTCTATTCTATGCATAAAAGCACCACAAATGCTATATGAAAATACAATTTTTATGATTTTAACATTTTGTCTCTGAAACAGGATAATTTTTGCCCAATAAAAAGATGTTTATATAGCACGAAATTAATTTTCTTGGAAAATTTAACACTTCCTCTTAACCAATTCACAATCCATAAACTCCGTTTTAAAAATTTAAGACTTTATTTTGGGGTCATGCTTACTTGTAACGGAGACAGAGATTGTTGAATTTCACTCGAAACATAAAAAACAAAAATGACAAACTTGAGAACTAATTTATACGTAGTAATTTTCTCAATTTATTTGGAGAGAACACTTTCTCACCAGGTCACATTTAGTTAAGTACTTTAGTCATTGTATTAGTTACACACGTATACACACCACCTACCTTAAAAATGTATTTATGGCCAAACTCCAAGTTTTTGACCAGATACTGCACTGTTGAACCAGGTGGGGAGGGTGTAGATATTGAATAGAGCATTATCATCCATGCATTACCATCAGAACGCATGTAATACACCTGGAAGGTACACCATCCCTAATAGTTAATACCTGCTTCATGTCAACAATAATGAACAAATGAATTTTCCAAATGATGATAATTGTGTACTGCCTGAAGAAAAAATGATAAGATCATTGTGATTAGCAAGTTGGGATCCATTCAGTTTTTTTTTTCCCTGAATTACAAATACTTAAAATTCTCTTAATATAATGGAAAACTGAAATGGATTCTGGGGGCTAAAATGCCAAGTGAACGACTCCAATGTAAGGCTTCCTGTATGCAAGGTTTCCCCAAAATTACTGAACACCTTAAGAATAGAAAGACAAATTTGCAACTTATTTTAAAAATTTCTAGTTCTTAAAACCAGTTAACAAATGGAAAATAGATGGAAAATTGATTATTGAGGCTAACTGGATACACTTTCTATCATTATCAGTAGTATCTTCATTATTCTAAAAAGACTTCCACTGACTTATTATTTTATATAAGCTTTGGAACAGTCTTCACTGTACCTTGTAATCTAATATCCGTCCATTTGGCTGTAATGGAGATTTCCAGGTCAGCTGTAAGGTGGATTCCTCCAAACTATCCGAACTGACATGGAGTTGATATATCAAATCTGTGCAGGGGCCTAGAAGTATGAATTATACACTTTGATACCTTGTATATTTTTTTGTTTAAACTTACACATACACACAAAGAGAGAGAGAAAGAGAGAGAGAGAGAGAGACTGATGTCAGAAAGTAAAATACTTCAATTAATTTCAGAAAGCAAAAAGAAGAGTTATCCAAAGCATTTGACAAGCAGTGTTCTACTCACCCCAAGCACGCACAGAGAGAGAGAGAGAGAGAGAGAGAGAGAGAGAGAGAGAGAGAGAGAGAGAGAGAGAGAGAATCTGCATACCTGGTATACCGTCCCTTGTTTTAAGAATTAGCACAGGATCTGAACCATGGCTTGGAGGCCCTGTAACATCCACAATAACCTTGAAGTAATACTGTGTGGCAGGCGAGAGACGCGTGAAATTGTAGCTTGTAGCGGTCGACGGAAGCCTCCCATTGGTTACGTTCCTAAAACTTTGCATGCCACTGGTCCTTTAAAATTTAAGAAAAAGAATTTGTTAAGACTAGTATTGAAATGGTGTTCATCATGAACATATCAAATACTGTAATACTTTCTTAATAAAAAGTTTGTATATGTTCTAAATATTTTCAAGAAAAATGTGACACCCCCAATGTCAGATGCTCCAGGAATGAACTATTTATTAACAAGCTACAAAAAAATACAAAATTGAGCTTTTTTTTATTAGCTAATTCAAAATTAAATTTCTAACTTCAAAGTATTTCATCTTGATGCGAACCTTCTAAGAGAGCATTCAGAACAGCGAACTAACAGATCGCAGATCAAATATGGCGACCCGCTGAAAAGCTTGACGCCTAACTCCCAAACAGACACTGTATAGATTTCCCTCAGGGCTTACACAACAAGCATTCAAGTGGGCCGGCCATTTTTTTTTTTCTTTAACAGACACTGTATAGATTTCCCTCAGGGCTTACGCAACAAGCATTCAAGTGGGCCGGCCATTTTTTTTTTTTTTTTTTTTACAGACACTGTATAGATTTCCCTCAGGGCTTAAGCAACAAGCATTCAAGTGGGCCAGCCATATTTGATCCACATATCTGTTAGTCTGCTGTTCTGAATGCGCTATAAAACATTTTATTTCGATAAATAAGTTTTCCAGTAAGGCCAGCTCTGTTGTACAGCTCAATGTGTTTATATAGGTGCACTGGTAGGAAGCCATCACTTGTACAATTTACCTATAAGCTGGCATGTAAGTATAACTAGGAGGTGCAGGTGAGGGAGGGTGCCATCTCACAGCCACATTGTTGACACCAGCTGTTCCAACAAGATCTCTCACTGAATAATGACGGGCTCCTGAAATATTTTTTAAGTTGCAACTTTTTCAATGTCTGTCTTAAAATGCACAATTAAGGGAAATAAATTATTTGATTTTATTTGTATCTTAGAGATACGTTTGAACAGAGCATGGATTCCCAGTAATGAAAACCACTTTTAGCAGTTTCGTATAGTTTCTCATATAGCTCAAATTGTGTCAACATACCAAGGGATAAACTGAATTAATCACTAAGTCAGCAATAAAAGAGCTTCAAAACTGCACATTCTTCAAATTTTTGGTTGCAAATTGACCTACTCATCTCCCCCTGTTATATACAGCACAGAAAGAAAGCAGAAAATATTTGTTCAAAAATCATTTTTCAGGTAATATGAAACGATATCCTTTGAAAGTTCTCCAAGTTACACTTTTTGAAACTACATGGTGGCATTTGGCTGGCTTTTGTGCAAAAATTTGATTTCAGATTCATCTCTATAGGATAAGCTTACCTTTGGTATCTTTTGCTTCCTTCCTCTCATGCTTTCTTTCAGATTTACATCCTTTTTTTTTTTTTTCTTTTTGCTATATGGTTTTATTCCAAATATTTTCCCTGCTTTAACAACTGTTTCACAAGAAGTTCAGTAATCATTGTTATAATTTCTAAAGTTTTGCACATTTGTTCACATTTGATTCAATTTTAAGCTTGAAAGCCATTTTACAAATATGGGAACTCAAAACCTTACCACAGTCCCTTTCATCGCTGCTGTCATAGCAATCGTAGTGTCCATCGCAGAACTGAAAATGGTGCAGGCAATTGCTGTGGTCAGCGCAGGCCACCAGACCACTGGGACACGGCCGCAGCGTTGTTGACCAAGAGACTGGAACTGAACCACAACTATCAAAATGTAATTTCCAATTCATCAAGTTGTGATGTTCAAAGGTAAAATCACTAACTCTAATACTGGACACTTATGTTGTTGGAGTGGCTACAAAACATCAAGCAGATCTATGTGAGTGTCCAGTATTTGAGTTCATAGTTTTGCCTTTGGATCAAAACTGGCTTGAGATCACATAATGGGTATATTGTGACAGGCCATATACGGCCTTGTGGTTTGAGCATCTGCCTACGAAATATGAGGATGCAGGCGTGACCCTGCAGTGGTGAGAATTTATCCACCCCAGGGTGGAAAGAAAGTCTACAGCCAGTCTACATCAAGGCCAAAAAATTGTCAGGTAAACTGTGATCGATTGTTAACCCCAGATTGACCGTTAACCCCACTGAGACAAAGTGTACGTAGTGTTGTATTAAACAAAACTTCAATTTTTACTTTCGAGATGACCGAAAATCTTTGCATTGGTCCACTGAGTTAACCCTTAGGTAAGATGCACTGACCTCATGGTGTCACTGTGACTTGGTCACAGCTGTTAAAAAGGTGGTACAATATCTACATACATTAAAACTTTTGGCTATATGATGGTTTTAACCACTAAATTAACCAATATATTCAAATACAAGGCAGTGTTTTCAGTATAAAATGGCAATTTGTCTGACATTAACAAAATAACATTTGAAAATACCTGTAGAAGCACAGCCGAACTCATCTGAACCATCTGTACAATCGGAGTCGCCATCACAAATCCAGGTACGCGGAATACATCCCCCACCAATCTGACACTCAAACTGACTGCTGCTACATGTAGGTAAGGTAACTGGAATTTCATATTTTAAGATTTTCAATATGAGACACACTATGAAATTTGCTTATGCAATTTCTTATTACATGTCATATTGCACTGTTAACAATTTCTTGATAAGTGATGTTGTTGTCAAACAAAGTCTACGCTGTGTTGGCATCAACTAGACAATAACGATCATGATGATGCAAAGTTAGTACAGCAGTAGTTCTATACAAAATGAAACTTTCATTCAGTATTACTGCAAAAGATCAAATGAAGTTAATTGGACTAAGGTGTATAGAATCTAATATATAGACATCAAAAATCCTGAGATTCACAGTAACCTGGGCCAACTTTCAGATGGAAAATCATGTTGGACTAACTACAGGATTTATCTCATCTTAATAATTATTAACAATATCAACAGTACATTTCATTTTTTAAAATCATCACATTATTTCAAATTAACTTAAGCCAATATAAATTTGTGAAATTTCCAAGAAGTCCATAACAATGATAACAAAAATATATTTATTACTATTTCTAGGACAATTTTGCTCATCAGCATTATTGCCGCAGTCATTATCACCATCGCAAACCCAAGACCTGAAGATACAGTGGACACGGTTGTGTGGTGGAGGGCATTCAAACTCGTAGGCGTTACAGGTTGTGGGTAATGGTGTGGTGGCTGAAAACGTAAATATTGATATTAATTCCGGATGTAATTGTACCAAGTTTTAAGATTTAAAAAATATACCAAGAGCTCTATTTCACTCTTTCACTCAACAAAGCAATAAATATCCATCAACAGGCCCAAGCAGGAACAGGGATCACGGATACCACATGCCCCTGTTTATAACCAAGTCATTCTGCCAATTACCACCTTGAGTGAAAATCCCTCACAGCTCAATTAACACCAGAAAACCCATGTGCATTCAGCCTGATGATACTCATGTGATAAGAATAAAACACGGGCGTTTCATAAAACTTATTTCCAAAGTAAGTGATTCTCTTTACCAAACACACTACAATATACCGACCACTGTCTATTTTATATGTGTTCTTCGTACATGCTCATGTACTTACTGTAACAAGCCTCCTCGTCTGACCTGTCCCCGCACTCTGGGTAGCCATTACAGCGCAGGAACCGTGAGATACATTCTCCGTTGTTACACTGGAACTGGGTACTGCTGCACGTTGCTAATGTGTCGTTGCCTTGTATGATGAAAAGAAGCAACATTTATGGGCTGTTTCAAAATGATCAATTGCAAAGAAACATTAAATATTCATTGTTACATCAAAGTTAAACAAAATACCTCAACATAATTTTCATTGATTACATATAAGAGGCCTCTACTGAAATTTTTTATCATACATGCACATTTTATGTATGCAATTAAATGCATTCTTTGCATATTTTACATGTGCAATACTCTAAGGCCTCATTAAATTTTCAAATTAAGTTGAATTTACCCAATGAAATCTGCTAACCTAAAAAGAAAATAGCTCTGGCTGGGACAAATGTCACACACAAACACAAACACACACACACTCACACAGACACACATACACACACAGACACAACTGAACACACACACACACACACACACACACACACACACACACACACACACACACACACACACACACACACACACGCACACATGCACTACTTACAAAAATATTCATCTGAATAATCTCCACAATCATTAATGCCATCACATCGCTGTCCCACATATATGCAGAGACCATTGTTGCAGCGAAACTGATAGTGTTGACATTGTCCATCGGTTGTTGAAGGTGAAGAGACAGTTGTAAGGGCAGGAGTGGTGGTATCTGGGAGAGAAAATAACATGAAATAAAATGTTTTTACTCTCTACGTGATAGTGGAGTGGAAATGGCCTACTTACCTGTGGAAAATAACACTAAACTATATAAAGGCTTCTGGTCCAAATTCTATCAGATCCAGTGCAGCTTTATATGACTCAGGTGATAGATTTTTTAGACCTACAAACCTGCTTGGCTGCGGCACAGATAATGTAAGTGTCTCTGCTATAGCAATTTGTTATATGACTATTTACAGAGCTCTGTACATTTTTCAAGAGCCAAGTACAAATATTCAACTGAAAGCACCTATATCAACTGATTTCTTTATCACAACATGTAGTTTCACAAAAATTGTAAATTTACTTGAGATGTGTATATAATCTCAACTGCTATTCTACACATTTCTTCAATTGTGTTAGCTGAGACAGGAAAAACAATACTTACTACAATGCTGTTCATCAGACATGTCACCGCAGTCGTTGTCACCGTCACATAACCAAGTCCTGTAGACACAGCGGCTGCTGTTATGACACTTGAACTGATACGACGGACATGTTTTGTCCTCACAACCCACCTCGTCCGAGCCGTCTGTACAATCACGGTCTCCGTCGCACTTCCAGCTAGAGCTGATACAAGGAACAAGGCCGCTTCGACAGGCAAACTGTGATGCTGAGCAAGTGCCAGGAGCAGCTGAGAACAGGAGATTGAAATGAAATTAGTCCTGAACAGGGACACATAACAACCAAAACAGGTGTGATTTTTCAAGAACAAGACTAGTGTTATACAATGAGGTTAAGTAACAGCACAACTAGCGGTGTCATGAAATGAAAATTACACAAATAGGGGAAAAAACACCAGTTTTATGTAAAAGGTACATCTTCATTTTCTCAAACATTACATAAGGGTATAATTAAGTACATAATATTTAAATAACTACCCATTAGCCTTAATTTAATCTATCAATTAATTAAATATGGTTTTGTATCAGATACACTTACCAGTAGTTGTGGCATTACAGTGTCTCTCATCACTTCCATCCCTGCAGTCATCATCTCCGTCACATACCCAGCGAACAGAAACACAACGTCTGTTATCACATTGGAACTGATTAGAAGCACAGGTGCCATATACTGAAAACATTGATACATATATATTACACAGGTGCTATGTACTGAAAACAATGAAAACATATATTATACAGGTGCCATATTCTAAAAACATTGGTGTATATAATATACAGCAGTCTTACACTGAAAACACAGTACACACATGCACATACACACACACACACACACACACACACACACACACACACACCAAGGATATCAAATAATAAAGATTTAAGTATATTATGTTATGAAAGGGGTGACAAAATGCTGATTCATCATTTTTCAGCCTCCCAACCCATCTATAATGTTTGAAGTATAAGAAATATGATGTATAGAACTCAAATATTACTTTTCTTTTTTTAAGTTATTGAGATACACTATCAAATAAGTGTGGAGATGACTTCAGCTATTTCTATCAAATCATATGTGACAAGAACATTGTTTTCTCTGAGACTTAAGAATCAGCAGAACATACCACAGCCTGCTTCATCGCTATTGTCACCACAGTCATTGTCATGATCACAGCGCCATCTGCTGGGGATACATCTGGAGGAATTGCGGCAAGAAAACTGGTAACTGTTGCACGTTACATACGCTGAAATATACATATATTTTCTTAAATGAAGAAAGCTATTATGCTTATATATGCTGCAAGATGTTGAACATAACAGCTTTGATGAAACATTTGAATTTTTTTAAGATCATCAACTCTTTGGTAACCTTGTGTCAGTTTTTGTAAATTAATTTTTCTTCTTATTGCCTTTTTTTTCTGTTCCTATTCTAGTGCATAAGTGGGTTAGGTGTGCTAGTGTGTAAATTGTTTAATATAGAACAACGATGTTGGTGAAACTATGTTAGGTGTGCCAGTGTAGACTGTTTAGATGAAAAGTGACCTCAATGAAAATGTGTTTTGTATGTCAATGTATAAATTCTTTTAGAAGAACTGTAACATAATGAAATGTATGCAAGGTGCAGCAGTGTGACAAAGACAACAGAATGTTCAATGTAGCACCAAGGAAGACATAATAGTTGTTTTACTTACGGCAGTTGCGTTCATCACTGAAATCCCCACAGTCGTTGTCGTGGTCACACTTCCAGTTGATAGGAACACAGTGTTGGTTTGCACAGGTGAAATCTACTGGGCCACAGGATGCTAAAAGGTCAATAAGATATCCCTTTGATCAACTATCAACTGGCATGTAAATAAGTGACTTGCAAGGGGGGAGGTGGAAGGGGGGACAAACTTCCAAGCCAGTAGTATGTCAAGTAAAAATCAGTGAAATATACTGGTACTAGTATGTAAAATGTACTTACTCAGGTGTGTGTGTGTGTGTGTGTGGGTGTGTGAGAGAGAGAGAGAGAGAGAGAGAGAGAGAGAGAGAGAGGGAGAGAGAGAGAGAGAGAATCAACGACACTTACTTGTTCCATTCCCCTCACGACAATAACCATCAGGCCCCTCATACTGGGTCCCATTACAGCCACACTGCTCGTTTCCATCAGGATTCAGCACAATCACTTTATCTCCACCACACTTGCAGCTTTTCACAGTAGGATGAGACTTCCCAGGAACTGGCATACACAGGTTGCTGCAGTGGGTATCATTTGTGCAAGGGCTTATGGCTGAAAGACAGGGAAAAAATATTGATACCAGTGTACAAGGGCTTATGGCTGAAAGACAGGAAAGAAATATTGATACCAGTGTACAAGGGCTTATGGCTGAAAGACAATAAACAAATATTGATATCTGTGCACAATGAGGGACAGAAACTGAACAATAAATGTTCACCATTTGCTGGAGTTAGGACTGTAAGTGAACTTTGATAATCAAAATACGCAATATCAAAAATGACTAAGTTCAGTCAGTGAACCACAAGAATAACATTATCACACATCACGGATGTTTTGTTTTCATACGCATCACCAATTTATAGTCCACACAAATCAAATGATTCAAGCAACTTGGTGCTTGCATTTTCTGATTTTTTTCTTGATTTTCATCAACAACTCACTATAAATGACCTGAAGGAAACCAGCCATTCACAGATTACAAATAGGAGTATAAGGTAATAAAATGTCTTCTTCAAAACATGAGAAGAGCAAGTCCTGATTAACATCACCCAAAAATTTACCATCGAGATACCTAAATAAATGTAGAGTATTAAGTAATAAAAAAAACTTTTAAACTNTCTTTCCAATAAATCTCCAACCCCTTATTATTAACCAATAGAACAGAAGATGACTTACTGGCCTGTGAAGACTTTGAGAAGATCTTGAGGTCCATGATCCTTGGCAGGTCAGACTTGATGTACCGCAGTCCTGCCCCAGTGGTCTTGTCAGCTGCCAGGATGCCTTGTAACATCCAGTCTGTCCAGTAAATGTCATTCTGAAGAGAGACCAGTAAGGTCATTCGAACTACTATTAGAACTACTACTATTACTACTACTACTACTACTACTATTATTGGGCAATCCACCCACTGGACAATCCATGGACAATCCACCCCACTCTACCTTGACAATACACCCCCCCCCATCCCCACTCCGTACAATTTCCCTCCCTCCCCCTTCAAAGGAAGTTTCTGCCCCCTCAAACAATATATATGAATATGTTTTTAGTATTTCCCATATGATCCCAGGACAGGTGCTACTCACTTACCTTATACACAGCTATTGAGTAAGGATGAGGGGCATATCTACGCCCACTGACCACTGTGTGGACATTCCGGCCATCCAGGTCCGAGTACTGTATGTGGTCAAGGTAGGCGTCTGCCCAGTATAGCTTGCTAGCTTGGGCATCGATGGTCAGTCCATTGGGCCATTTCACATATAGTGTACTGTACACAATACGCTATGGAAAAGGAAATATGAATCAAATGAATTATGAAACAAAAGTTCAACCATCAAGCCATTTTTCTAGACTGTACCTAAATGTGCTAGGTTAAATGCTAAGCTGATATACTTAAATTGTGATATGTAACTCAAATATGCTAAGTGAAGGTTTAAACTGAAAACTCTTCATGATGTAAGAAAAAGAAAGTATGACGGGACAGATTCATTAACCATTGGTAGGTATTGAACATTGTCGCCTACCTCAGGAAAATCCATTTAAGACACTTTTCATGCCAAAATGAGTTGTCATCCCTTTATCATATATTTATCAATAGTTTGTTACTTCACAGACTCTTTGAACAATTTAAACCAACTAGTTTTAAAAGACCTCAGTGAACAAACAAGGTACCTGAATGGACTCTGGGTCTCCATTCATCCAGGCTCTGACAATCTGCGGGTGCTCTGTTGACCAGTCAGTCCAGTAGATAGAGCTGAAACAGCACAAGAACTACCTTAAAACACCTTTTATTTTTATTTTCACTCTTTAAGTACAATCTTTGAGTTCTTTTTTCTAGCAAACTCACTGAAGAGCTCTTAAACAAGATTCTTTCCAACTACAGTTTTATTTATTTAATTTTTTTTTTTTTTTTTTTTAAGAGGAAAATTTGATTTGGTTTATCCCTGGTGGAACCTTCTAAGTGGCTGTTTGATGTTATTCTAACATGTAACTTATCAAATCAATTTTATCACTTGATAACTAAATTTTGAACTAGTAATTAACTAGGGCATACAGTGAATAATCAGAGAGCAGGATAGTTGAAGGTACCACTTGATATCATGAGTTAACTTACCCGTGGGCTGGGTCTGCCACTATGGCCCTGGGTTTGTCCAGAACTTTAATGTTCGTGTGTGGTATGGTTTGATTGTGGGAGCCATCGATGAGAACTCTACGGAATCTGCCATCAGTTTTCATCACCTCAATCACACGACGGCCTGCGTCCACAAAGTAGAGGTTCTCCGAGGTCCAATCCAAGGCAAGGCCTTCAACGGACTCCAGTCGTCCCTCCGCCAGAACCTCTGCCGTGTCGGTGCCATTGAGGCACATTCTCTGCAAGGGAAATAATAGTTATTACAGTGCCCTGAGAGCACTTCTTTAAAGTTTTAGAAAGATTTTTATTTAAACCATATATTCACTTACTATATAATTTGCTATATTTGTTTATGCACTAGCTATTTGACTGCATTTATCTTTAATTTACCTTCTATTTCAAGTTTAGTTCATCTTTTTTTATCAGTTTACTTTAATTTTGTGAGCTCTGAAGCAAATGTGTACAGCACTTTTATGCAATTAAGGCCACTGACTGTATATCATCCCCCTTCCTTATCATCCCCCTACCTTAATATAATCCTCACTGATATCTGCCCAGAAGATACAGTTTCCTTTATAATCATACTCCAAAGCGATGGTGTTGTAGAGATGGGGCAGAGCTATGGTCTCTGTAGTATTGTCCCCCAGTATATAGCGCTGGACCACAGTACGTCTGGTGTACAGGAGAAACTCTGGCTTTACTGGAGGAGAAGATCTTGAAAATTAGCATTTGGCTACAAGATTTGGTTAAACAGTATTTTATAATGAAAATAAAGATTTTGAAAAAGAAAATACGAAAATAAGATTTTGTGATTATTGTAAGCTTAGTAAGGCTATCATGATCAGGTTAAAGACAGAAGAAAAGTATGGGTCAAACGTTTATTTATTTATTTATTTTTTACTTCTTATCACAAAATGGCACATAAAACATACGGATATCATAAGGTTTATATTCATCTCCAAGTAAATAAATTAATCTCAAACTAATCCATGGACAGGCTATATATTCACCTGTGCAACCATTTACATGACAATTCATACATATGCATTCTCACTGATGAAAATAATGAAAGGAAAAACATGCATGTGCATGCATGCACACATCACGTTTGCTTACCTCCAACAGGGCAGAACAGTCTATCTGGACCATACCTCGCCTCATCACCTCCTTGACAAGTATCTCCAGGTACTTTACGATATCTGAAAGTAGCATTCATGGAATCAAATGAGTTTTCCATACTGCCTCCTATTACTTTTAAGGACCATTATATGCATAAGAATCATTACATAAGGCTGCCATTTAGTGGAAAAGTTGGAAAATATGGAGTGGAGTCCAGGGGACTGGCTAGGCCTATGGTATTTATGGCTCCCAAAATAGGTACCCTTTGCTATCAGATCATCACAACTGTTAATCTTTTAGATAACTGTAACATTCTGATGTCAACCTGATAACTTATTCAGACTGCACTGACGTCAATAGGTGTCATTCATGTCCAAATGATCAAAAATCATTGTTACTAGTGCAGACTGAAGAAAATGTCAAACTGTTATCAGCACATGTGTACCTCAAAAAATTACTTCTTCTGTGACAAAATAATGTTTGATATCTTATTTATTTGATTTCACTAACAAACTAATGACAACAAAAAAAGTACCCTTTTGTTCTAAAGTAGGTCCCTCCCTCGGGGCAGATTGTGGGCACTCTGTGGACGTCAACGCCAGATGTTGCGTCATACAGACAGTTGGAGGACCGTGGTGCCCAGCCATACTGCAGTCTGAAGCCAAAGTCACTGGAACAAAGAGATATCATGATGGGTATTTATCATCTGAGCTGTATTTTCTAATAATTTATTAAGTAAAATTTTTATTAGAAAGTGTTGTAAAATTTTTATAAGTAGGTTGAGTATAGAATATAAAATTTGAATGATTGACTTGAAGATGATCAAGCTTAAACTTGCAGTCTTTCAAGAACTAGTTCATGAGGCTCAATAGAAATGTGGGTAGATGCATCAAGACAGACTGCTAAAGACACCTGCTGAGATAAATATAAATATATACATATATATCCAGTGTAGGCAAGAGAGTACACAATAAATTCAGCCTGTATTTTCAACTGATACATTTAACAATCATTCAATCTATGCCCTCTCCCTACCATTCAAAGTCGGCCCTCAAGCAAAGACAGTTTTCCTGTCTGATTGGACGATCAAAGTCATTGCCATTCAAGCACTTGGCATGAGCTCTTCTGCGGTTGTAGACCACCTTGCGCCCCAAAAGGCATCCCCTACCATGTCCCTCCGTGGGGTCAGAGGGGGTCCACTCCTTGTAATCATCTCCCCGGCAGGCTATGTTATCTAATGGCAAAGAGTTAGAACACAATTTCATTATAATCCCTCATATATAATACCAGCGAAGAAAAGACCAAATGCATCATCAATACTTGATCCATTTACCAATGCAATTTATTAACAGTATTATAGATAGACTTTCTGACAAGAAGCCTAGACTTACTTTTCAATACTTTTGAATCAACATTCCTAAATATAACAGACTAAATTTGTAAACCTTTTTTTTTTTTGGGGGGGGGGGGGGGAGGGGGGAATTGTTAAGTGACGCTGTTCAAAATTATTGAATAATTACAGTACTTACTGAACACAAAGGTCAGATTGACCTTGATGATGAGCCAACTGTGGATGGGACTCCTGGAGCCAAACACAGAGAAGATGGTGGTGTGTTCCCCTGGCTCCGTCAGCACACCATATACCCTTATCTTCTCAGGACCAAATATCAAAACTTCCCAGCTTTCTCCCTCATTCCATGAGTATCTGTTTTTAGTAATAAATTTCATATTAGGAAATATAATCCAGCGGATTATTTCAGCTAATGTGATATGTATTCAAAGTTACAGTTCTTGTGACAGATTCTTCAAACAATGGCTTAAACAAGAGTCTTGGGCTCCCAAGAAGTCAGAAATCAGCCAATACTCGGAAAAATCTCATTACTGTTTCAGCAGCCCATAATGACCAAAAAGTCAGAAATCTACAACACACACCAATTATCCAGGCATCATGGAAAAAACAACTACTTACAAAATCTCATTGGTCATTTCATACTGTCGGACAGCCACTATTAACCCGCCATGGTCACCAAAGTTGTAGAAATGCTGACCTTTCAGTACCTGCAGAGTATACAGTTAATTTGTAAGAATATTTTCCTTTAATTCTATGTTAACCTCCAATACCCCAGTAATCATTTCCTCCTCCAGAGGCAGTCGGACAGAAAACCTGACAACAGTAGCAAAAGAGAGAAAAAATGAAATTCAATATAGTTGTTAAAGAATTTTAATATTAAAGTTGTTATATGTGGTACACACATTTTTTTTCAATTCATCTTATTCACACAAATTATATTCTTAATTGCTTATAAACTAAGAGTATTATTTTTCACTTATTCTTCTACATGTAATTTTTTTTTCTTATCATTCATTTATATATATCTATCCATCTCTTTTTTTTTTCAATTCAAGGACCACACCTCCAACATAAGTTAACAAGATGAACAAATGGTGCTGCCATAACTGCAATACCCACACCCCACTCACCTCTTTCCAGTTGGCCCCAGCATCTGTCGTGAGATATATATTGGGTAAGTGATCTCGCAGTGATGATGTCACATTGGTGACCCCAGTAGCCATAATGAGGCCTGGTGCTGACGCCTTGCTCAAGATCTCAGCTGTGCGGGACCGTGGGTACAACTGCTGAAGTCGCTGGGTGAGGTGGAGAGAGCAGTCCATGAACTGAAATGACAGGCAGCCATTAAAACTAATACACACCAATATATAAAAGATGACTGTTTGATCTGATCCTCTACTAAAATTACATACTATCAACAGCATATTATATCAAACAGTCATATTTCTTTCCTAAATAATAACAATAAACGAACTATTTTAATTTTAACATTTTTCAAATAAATAATAAATATATATGAAAATATATAATACACATAATACTCCGAACTGAATGGGATGTTACAAAATTTGAAAAAAAAAGTATACACACTGAGCCACAGACGTATGTACTGTAACATCCACATAATACAGTACATACCCTATAACAATGAGTGTGGTTTCCTTTGCTGTCCTGATACGGAGCATTTATCCTCTCCCACATACCTCCCTGATGAGAAATATGGTTTAGAAATTAGTTTAAAGAAATAGCATTGATTATAGCTATAATTATAGGTCAATTTATCTGTTAATTATAGATGTGCATTTTCTGGCCTCTGTCTGATAAGATTCACTTCAGCCAAACTCCTAGACAATTCAACTGAAATCAAAATGTTGAACCAGAACAAGGATAAGCTTGGCATTTTGGTTAAATTATACATGATTATGGAGTGAAACAAGCTTCTGTCTTTTTTAACGTAAGAAAAGAAATGTTTACAAGTACTTAATATATAATATATTTAAAAAACCTGCCATAGCTACCTTGACATAAGTATATATATAATATATATATAAAATATTGTATAAATTATTATATATATATATATAATATTTAAAATATATAATATATATAAAGCCCTGCCATAGTTACCTTGTCATAAGTGATCAGGGTAACCTGTCTGTCAGGATCCAGGGTGCCATTGGCCAGCTGAGATGCGATGTATATCCCACGCAGCCCATCAACACGGTGAATGTCAGCAAAGGATTCATCAGCAAAATACCTGTTCATAAATGGAGAGAAAATACATGTGCATATGCGCAATTCACAGTGTGAGTGCATGTGTGCTGGTGCGCACATCTTCAAGTATTTTAAATGAATCCCTGAAAAATGTGTCTTGAAATATTTCACATTTTCTTGCCAAATTAGAATGTTCCGCCATATGATAAAATTCATAATATGTCCAAACTGTGTAGTTAAGTGTTTAAAAATATACACAACTTCTTCCACCAATAATAGTAAAGATTATTCAACAAGTGTGTGTGTGTGTGTGTGTGTGTGTGTGTGTGTGTGTGTGTGTGTGTGTGTGTGTGTGTGTGTGTGTGTGTGTGTGTGTGTGTGTGTGTGTGTGTGTGTGTGTGTGTGTGTGTGTGTGTGTGTGTGTGTGTGTGTGTGTGTGTGTGTGTGTGTGTGTGTGTGTGTGTGTGTGTGTGTGTGTG